TGTAAAGATGTTGAAGATGCCTTCAATACTACCAATGATGGTAGTGTGATTAAGTGTGCCATGGCCAGAGATTAGGCAAACAATGTATCATGCATCACAAGCAGGTTAAAAAAGGAAAGACCTAATGAGGAACTCAGTAGTCTATTGATTACTTGAGATTTTCTGTAGAAAGTATTAAAACTTTTGGCATAAGACGTCTTTTCATCTTCACACATACACTAAACGCACAGCCACCCACACACAGGTGAAAGTGTTCATTTAAAATATCAGTATTCAAAAATTTTGCAAAAAAAACCCCAGGATAGTTGGCAAATGCATTAATATTTTTTTGTATCAGAATTACTAGTATGTTCTGAAAGAAGGTTGCAATGTCCTATTTTTCACTTCCAAACACATAATTTCTTCTTATCCACATGTTTAACCCAATCTCTCTGGTATAATGAGCTTCATAGGACAAGTATGAAAGCTGCATTTGCAATTGCCTGTGGTAAACTAGGGAAGAGCTAAAGTAGGCTGTTTAATAAAACTTGAGTGATTTGTTTTAATAAATAGAATTTCAGAATGATGGCTATAATTTATAATATATTAATCAGTTTATTATTGTGCTTTGTGACAATGTTCTTATCACATTCAACATGATTATGGATGACACAGAATATTTAGTCTGGGACATTACACATCTCCCTGTTGTAATGATTCCTGCCAATGCAGAGTGCAAGTATTTATTAATATCCAATATTTTTAAATAGAAGATAAAGAGGGAGAGATTCCAGACACTTTTGTTCCCTGACAAAAGACTTCACTACAGTGGTTGACCAAGGACAAAATTTGTCTTAAGGTATGTATAAGCACAACGGAGGGATACAGGAACTTCTTAGTCAATGATTCAGCCCACCTAGAAGGGGTTTATGGTCACAAGCCAGTGTGATACTTGACTGATACACTTCAGTCAGGTGCTTAAAGGTTGATGGTATGAGCCTGAGCTTTGTGCAAGGTATAGATATTACTTATACTATATACATGAGGGTCTGACCATGCAAAATATGTGTTGACTTATTTCTATTTGAATGATACTAGGAATATACAAATACATCCTCTCTAATTTTTTTGCCCCACGTCTTCTTGTTGTTCCACACCCTCACAAAAATGATGACTTCAGTAGTGTCAATCCCCCCTAAATTATTTTCATAGCATATTTGGGAACATCATGCTCTGTCTGGAAATTATTATTGGCTTTGAGACTTATCTGAGTGAAGACAGGGGCTACCTAGAGATTTTCACTGTATACTTGTCTCTGTTGTTTGCTCTGAAAGTGTCCATGTGTGCTAGAAAGAACATACTGTCCATTCTCTGCATGGAGAGAGAGCAAACAAAGCTGCAGAGCAGAGGAATGATGAATTCATTTAATGAATAGCCACTGCTGGATACCATCATGATTTTGTGTGTTTTTTACATATAACATCTCACTGAGAAATTTTTCAGTGTAGGATCCAAATGGCCTATTCCCTTACCATACTGGTATATTTAAAAAGCGTTAGCATCCTGATCTATCTACTGTGCACTGCAGTTTCTCTCTTTGCACTGTGCCATTCACTTAGTGTAGAGAACTGCCTTTTAAGGCTCCTGACAGAATGCCTGTGCTTTCTCTTAGCGGCTGCCACATTATACTTAGTTTGATATTTTGGTCTTTGTGCACATCTAAGGTGCCTAATTTTACAGCTGCTGGATTGACCTCTGCGTCCTGAAGTCTTAACCATAAGCAACTCAGCTCAGATGGGAAATTCTTCACCCAGGCAGTCCCCAGTCCAAGCTGTCATCTCCTGTGGAGACCCTTCAGATCTGAGCTTGCCTGATTCCTGCCCCTCTTCTCTGGGTCCCAAAAGGATTTGTCCCATTGCATGAGCAGAGATGTCCACTGTAACTTGCATCCACAGTTCTCTACCATGAGGTAAACATACTTTCATCCACACAGGATTGTGGAGAGCTCGTCATTTTTCATTTAACAACAAACATATGTGCAGTTTTGCTCGTGTTGACTCATCTGGGGAAACCTATATTTGTTTGATAATGTAAAGCTTTCAAATGCCTCTATATGTGCTAGCATGGTGTACCAGGGCAGGAGAGCTGGCCACCATCACTCCTCAATTCAGGATCACAGGCTGAAAAGCAGGAAGAGTTCTCATGAAGCTGCAATATGGTCTGGGTTGTATTAGATTGCAGCCAGCAGGTCAAGGAAAAAGAAGAGATTATTCTGTTCTATCTGGAACTTCTGAAAATATGTCTCAGTTCTGGGCCTCCCAGTTCAAGAAAGATGTTGGCAAACTGGAAGGAAGTGTACCAGGATGGTGGTGGACTGCAGGGCCTGCAAAGAGATGCTGAAGGAACTATGCTTGTTCAGCTTGAAGAAGTCTGTATTAATCCTATCTAAACCACTTCACAGGGATATGGGGAAGACAGAGTCAGGCTGTCCATGGAGTCAAAGAGGTACTAACACAGAAAGTTTATACTAGGATTAGCAATACGTGGGTTGTTTCTGACTGTGACCTCAAGCATATGTTATAGCTCCCAAGGAGAGGTAAGGAAAAGAAGCAGGCAAAGCCATAGGGCACAACTTTTATCAGACAAGTGACTTAGTTGGAAAAAAATGAGGAAGTCCATTCTAACAGGCATTTGTCTAGTCTTTCTTTGAACGTGTTTGTATTTACCGTGGTTTAGCTGCTTATGTTTCAGTAGATGTAACATTAGGACTCAACAAGCTTTATAAAACACATGAAAAGAAGCCACCAATAACTTAATTTCAACAGGCACATTTAGGGTCCTATGACTAGATTTCTTTTTATTAAAGTAACAACATATTCATTAAATGAGATGAGATTAAAATCAGTTAACGAAAACAATCAGAATTCCCTTTTATTAGCTGACTCTGCAGGAGAGCAATATAGTTATTTGTACTGTCTGAGCAGCATATAACACTTTGTGCAACTAAATGATGTTACTTAGACCCTGGAAGCAGTCAGCTCTTTACAATAAATCAGGATGGGGTATCACTCTTAAAAAAGATTATATTTACATAGATCACTCCAAAAGTAATGCCTGCTATTTATTTCTATGGAAAATACGAACTGTCAATGTATCTGCCTGAAAATAAACATGCAGACAAATTCTCATCACCTCAGAATAAGATGTCTCTATGTCCTTCATGGATCTAATTCACCTGAAAAACAAGTAATGTAGTGCATCCGTTTCACTTGAACATTGTAGAGATAAGTATCTCCAAGGTTAAGATGCAAAGTAGTGTACAGGTCCTCAAGGAAAACTGGCTGTCATTTATCCACTGCTATTTAATGAATGAGATATAGTAAAGGCAAATTAAAAAGATCAAAATATAAAAAGGGTTAAAGAGATCAGAAACATACTCTGTATGAAACATTTTGGTTTTTACTTTTTTTTTTTCTGTTAGAACTTCATATCCAGAAAAGCTTTGTCTCTGTCAGTACCACATACTTCTATTGATAGTGTTCCTTACCCCATGGTAGTCAATTTTTTGTAATGCTTTATTAGTTTATATAAAAAACAATAAGTAAAATCACCAGAAGACTTACAACACTGATTCATGTTATTGTTATTGCTCATTATTATCATTTGTCATATGAGACAATGCCTGGCTTTGCATTTTTCCCCCTTTAAAAAGAGAAATCTGGCTCAGCTCTGAAGGCTCTAAACTGTTTTTTATACCAGCTGAAAGATGTTTATTACATTGTCATGTTTTCATATCCCTCCTGCTACCTTGTGAAGAACATACTTTTGCTCTGACCTAAGTGTGAAAATTCTGCAAGGTTTTGCTCTCTCTGATCAAGCCATCCATCCAGTGAGCTCAGCAGCATCATGTGATGACACTCAGTATCTGACCCAGCAGATTGTCCTCTACCTTTCAGTGCTGCACCTAAGCATGAGAGGCTCTGCATGGGGAAAGTTTAATTCCAACTTTGAGTCCTCATTCATGAAATTTCCTGAGTTTTGAGCTCTATTCTTTACTAAAAAATTGAATTACAAATAGTTCAATATTGCCTATCTTTATAGTTGTTAGCACAGTAGCATTTGATCAAGGAGACAAGTTGTAGGAGACATATGCAATAGCTAAAAATAACAACAATAGAGTAACAGTAATGACATCCCTACTTCCATATTGCAGCTGCAGTGAATATGTGCAGAACCTTGGCTGAGAGACTTTCCAGGCACTTAGGAGAGCATTTTGGACTCCTGTGCCTTGCTGACTCCACAGGTTGATGGCAAGAACGTTGCCACGTGTCTTCCTGAATACAAATAGAAATCAAAGAAAGTTCACCTTATGAGAACTTATACTCTGTGACTGTGGTCTGTATCTGAAAGCCTAACAAGCTCTGCCTTTTGTACCCAGCATCTGGAGATGTGCATGTTTCCTCTGAGTTCTGCATCTTGGTCTGACAAATTGCTTTGCCTTCTCCTAACAATCCTGTGCTGTCGGGACTGTCTATGACTGGATAACCAGTGGGATGTAGTTAAAAATACACTTCAGTGTCGTTATGGCATGAAAACCTCTCAGATAGTCTGCCTGGCTTTGCAGTGATGTCAATATTTATTGCCACTGTCACAGACCCATGAAGATTACACAGTCTTGGTGACGATGTTGCACTTGTGGTTCATGTAGGGTTATATAAAACACTCTCCTTCTGCTTTTGAATATGAGTGAAATTGCATCATAACTGGTGCCAGCAAGTCGGGTTTTTCAGTCACTCAAAATACTGTTTGGAAAGGAAGGGAACTTGTGACAGACATATCTGATCACCTGCTTCCTGCTCCACAGACCCTGCTGGGTATGGTCCTCAGAGGGGCCATTCTAATGCTGTAGTCCCACAGCTCCCTTGAGTCAACATAGGCAAATGCTGATGCTAAAAAAGGCAGTGCCAGCTTCCCACAGACCCAATCACAGTTTTTACTTTCTTTGTTTCCCCAGGGACTGCAAATAGCCATAAATACATATGAGAGGAAAAAAAGAGCACAGTTTTAGCCCATCGCATAGCCTTGTTCCCCCTCATTATGTGAATGCACAAACATCTGGAAGAAGGGAGAGAGAAATGCCAGGGGCAGTAAATAGGCACAGGTGAAGACTGAAAGGTAAGCCAGCACTACTCTTTCCAATTTAAACTGAATGTGGAAGTCAGAAGAGCCCTTGTATTATGTTCTCTCAGGGTGGTTGTGCAAAAGCAGGAGGCAGATGTCCCTGGTTCATTACACCCATGTTAGGGATACAGGATGAAACCAAATTTCAGCCTCCAGAATAATGCTGTCAGAAATACTTAAGCTAGTCTAAACATAGCTGATGTGCCCTTCACTTACAAAGTGCTTCACGTTACCCACAGTGATGTCTAAAATCAAGTACTGATAATTTCAAATGACCTTATATATATACATATATATATTTGTATATATATGTACATATATATACAAATAACCTTGTCAAGTTGCTCTTTTAAATCAAAATAATTCTCATCTTAAAAAAAAAAAAAGAAAATCTCTTGCTTTACAAAAAGTTTTTATGCTTCAGAAAATGATATTGAGAATAATTTTCTTAACAGTGATCTTGTAACAGCACTATGTACAACAACTAGTTCAAAAAAATTCTTTGACTGAACTACAATATTTTGGCACTGTGACTAATGGAGTTCACTGCCTTTTCAATTAATGAAAGTTTGATTCTTTTAGCAATTTCACTATGATTAGATCACAGCAAGAACCTTTTCCATTCCTCATCCCTCTCACTGTTATCAAAACGCTTTTATTGTTGGCTTTTAGCCTGCCTTTAACTGTAAAGTAAAAGTTTATCAAAATTCTTGCTGAGAACAACTCTGAGAAAAATTGATTTTATCAGTGGCAAAACTTTGCTGATACAGGCAAATCCAAGAACTAATACTACTAACCACTGAATCATCACCACCACCACAACCACCTCATGCTTTTGGCTTTATTTTAAGGACTGTGATTGTGGTTTTTCAAGGACTAGTAAGAGTTAATATCAAAAATTGGGACAAAAATGTAATTGTTTATGACAAAATATTAGAAAATAGCCTGAAGAATCTTTTCACAGCCCAAGTAATCAACCTTCTACATCAAGATGGGATAATTGTCAATCAAGCTTTCAGTTCGAAAACAGCTGCTAAAAATCAGAGAGAAGAAAAGCCAGGCACTTCACTGCAGTTTAAGCACTGAGCTCAGAAAGAGAGTACAGTATTACTGGCAGTAGTTGAGAACCTGTAATAACTTTGTGCAGTTATAAAAGCAATCAGGAAATAAGTCTGTTTTGGGAAGTTTTGTTTTATGGAAGCTGAAAATGTGTGTATTCATCTTACTGGTTAAAATGGTACTTGATGAGAAAAAGAGAGAAAAATGAGTCTTTCTCTCTCTCTCTCTCTTTTTTTTTTTTTTTAATTTATTGAAGGAAAAAGGCAGTTCTTGATTTCCAATGGCAATTAACATTTCTTTTAATCAAATCTTATTAGTAAAAGCCTTTTCCAGGCTTAGTAGACTGAATAAACTTGGCTCAGAAGTGTATGAGCGCACTGCAGTGATGCTCACCATTTCAGCATATATCTATATTTTTTTACTTTGCACATGTCTACTGGTTGTAATTTAGAATTACAAATACATATATATGAGTACTGATAGAGCACAGATGTGTTTCTATATTGCTTTTGTGAACTGTCACCAGTAGTTTATATGTCTTTTTTTTTCCTCCTAGGTTAATATGTGTCTAGTAGAAGTTTTGTAATCTACTCTGAGTACTTACTGTTAAGCAGAATTTGAATAAAAATCTGGAAACCAACAGTTATCACAAGAAAATAATTTTTACTTTTATGTGCTGCGCTTTCATACACCATTATCGTTTCTTATATCATTGTGTAATTTTGCTCAAATATTGATTAGTAATTTCGTAAATCTGAAAAACACAATTCCCAGGTGATGACCATGACCCTAGAAAAAGTTTTGAGAAAACAACCTCATTACGAGACGTACCTTGCAATAGATGTTTGTTTAAGTGGAAATCCACCAGAGCAGCTGCCCAGTGCAACGGTACATATTTGCTTCTGAATCCTTTCTCAAAGGCACTATTTAAACATGTTGATGAACTGGGCTGGATTTATCCCCACCTCCATTCCAGCAAAACAAGGAGACTCAGAAGATAAAATTTGTTTTGTTATTGCAAGTAGTGCTCCGTGGTAAGTGAGAAATTTGTTTTCTATGATTCTATTGAAATAGGAATGTGAAAAGTTTCCATATTCCTGTACAGATGCAATGTCTGTGTGTACTGCTGCTAAGTCACATTTAAATTTGAAAATGAATGTACTTCTATTTCTAGAATTGTTTGTATATAGAGATCCTACTTGTCCATATTTGGCTTGGTGTTAAAGATCTGGCTACTCTAGCTTCCCCATTTTGGAAAGAAGGAAATAAGAATTACTGTGTAGAGAATATCATTTCAATTCAAGATATACAACTTGTTTCAGATCTGGTTATGATTTTTAAACTGTGAATAAGTGACATTAATACTGAGAATTTTATGATGTGTACAGCTGTACTAGCCATCACTTAACTACACATAGCATTCTTAGCAGTAACTTGTAATAACTGAAAATTTTCAGTCACCCCCGTTCTGGACTTAGTTCAGCACTGTGACCTAGAGGGGAAAGTTTGCATCTCCTGAGCCAGTCACACTTTACACTTCCTTTCTGGGCTCTGTTTTAGCTTTTCTTCTGCCAATGTCTGCAAGGGAATCATTTCAGCCTGTCAGCACCTGACTTTAATTAGCTGGAGAAGTTTCTCATTCTTGGAGCTACTTTCTGCAGCAATTCTAGAAATTCCACAGAAAGGAGTCAGGATTGAGAAAAAGGCAGACCATGAATACATGATGGCGAGGTGGTGTCATTCCTCCTTCCCTCCACCCCTGGCCAAAGATGTAAGTTGTCAGGAGGGGCTGCGTCCAATGTCTCTTCTACTGCTGTTGGCAGCGTTTATGCATGTGACCAACTTCACTTTTGCATGGAAGAAGATTAGAGCTCACAAAATGGTACGTTAAGTGCCACAAAAACAAAACAGCTCAGGGCAGAGATGATGTTTTTATAATAAAATAGAAACAGAGTACAAGATGAATCATGTTGTTAAGATGTGTGAGAGTTCTTTGACACCTGTATCAAACCAAACTGGAAGTGTCCATCAGCTGCTTACTTTTTAATTTGCTTTGTGTCTTCACCTACACTGTCATTGGAGAGCAAATTGTGAAGTAGAAACATGGACTGAATCCTGAAATACTCATTTAAACTAAACTCTTATTACTGGCAAAGGAATGTCTATCTGAGTAACCCATCATACCTTACTGTTTTTACTGCAAAAGCGAAAAAAAATACTGAAAATAAAAACAAAACAAAACAAAACAAAACAAAAAAAACCAAAAAAACCCATATTTCTACTTCATCCAGCAATTTTGTTCTGCTAATCAGAACATTGCATATAAATCTGATTTGAAAGAAGGGTAAAACTATGCCTCTTGACAGGACCTGTGTTGAGGGGTTCAGAACCAAGGGGCTGTTCCTTTAAATTTCAATATTTTCTTTCACATTTTAGCAGAATTTTCTGGTTATTTATTTATTTATTTTTAATTAACTTATGCCTTTTCTGCTTTTTTTTTTCAATGCCTTTAAGATTTATTTCTGAAATATTACTTTTAAATTTTCCAGTGTAATTTCTGGATAAATAAAAGAAAAATACCAGAAAACGGGCTATCGTAGGAATCAGTTGTTCTATCATTAATGTCACAAATTGCTAAAAAAAAAAAAAAAAACAACCAGGAATATTGTGTATTTTTTGATGCGGTGTTATGAAAATGTCTTTAAAAAAATAATAAAAAAAGCACAATACTTTGAGGCAAAATAGACAATTTTTGCAGTTTTTATGTTTTTTAGAGAAACTGGTCATGGTAGTTATGAAATCCAAACCATCAAATGTATCACAGATAGCAATCTTGACTGTTACTGCCTGCAAAACTCACCAATGGCAATGGCGTGATACTTCATGTCCCAATTTTTAGTTCTGGTGATAGAAAAAGTGTAATGATAATTTTCTCCCTATTTCACAATGATTTTGTGAAATTCAGTTAGTGCCTGTAGAATGTTTTGATTGGTTAAAGTCTATGAGTACTTCTATGAATACTCATCTTTTGATTGCATGTCTGAACTTAATCTGCTTAAACTTTCTTAATATATTTCCTAAGAGCATAAATCTTAATTTTTTTACACCTTCCCTCAAAATCTGAATTCTAACCTATAATACAGTCTATCAGCTGATATCTTATAAAGGTCTGTGTGTTCCATGATTTGAAAAAGAATATCACAATATTGCCAAGATAGAGAATCTTCCCCTTCTCTGAACTATACATACGTGGATAATACTGCTGATTTTTTTATATGACTAGTATTATCAGGTTGTGGTTCTGAATTTTTGCTTTCTGGTACTAGCAGTTTATAGCAACAGGCTACAATCGTGTCAAATTATGTACTAAGAGTGTCTGTTGCATGACTTTCAAGATATGGATTCTGTGACCCAATGGTATGCTATAAGATTTGTGGTAAATATGTACGTATGATGTTGAATTTACAGATTTATCTAATTTTCTGTTGTAAGAATAGAGAAGGTAACAACAATAAGTCTTGCAAACCATTGAGGTTCACTAAGAAGTGCTAGATTTATAACAGAAGAAAAGTTATGAAAATGTTTGGTTAACTTCATAGTGATCCATTGTGCCTCGGAAAAGTGGTACATAAAGTAACCAATATCACACTAGAATGACTTTCTAAGAAGAGATCTGGATTTCTCTCCATCTTTTGTAGGTTTTAGACATTATAGCGAACATCTTTGCCATCTCAAGGATATACACAGAATGTTTCTGCTTGATATTTTCTGTGAGGAGACCAGGGAATTGAGGAGAGGTCAGGGAGCTGCTGACCTCTCTACCGGATGATGGAGGTATGCTTATGGAGCACATTTATGCATCACACACATGGTATTTGTTGCTTTTCTCAAGACAGCACAAGGCTACTTTTTTGTAGCCACCTATTGGAAAAACTCATACTTGTCTTATCATGAATGAGATTGGCTGCAGTGCTCTACTCTGCTGGTATTATATGGAGTTTCACCCTTGGGGACTGAAAGCCTTGCCACTAAAGATCACAAGTCCTCTCCTTCTAGTCTTTTTTTCTATAGTTTTATACACACAAGTGAAAGAAAGTGACAAATATGCTGACTCAGTATCAGAGGAATTTCTTGGACATCGATGAATAAGCCTAAAGGGTCACCACCCAAAAACACCATCAAAATTACTTCAAGGATTATTCCTATGACTCCATTTTATATGAACAGACTTTGTTCGTGCTGGGTAACACCCAGCTTCTAAGTCTAGTTAAGGTAATATCTGAAACACATCTGTTGTGGTTTTATGACTTGACCCTTATGAATCAGAGTAAGAACTTTGGTTTTCAGAAACTCTCATTTATTTGATTTATTAGCTTCAATCCCAATGTACTTATATTTTTGCTATTATAATTTGTAAACCACATTTGCTTTCTTCCTCGGATCATTGCTGCTGTTTTTTTTTTCTTTTCCCTTTTGTTCACTTTCCCTGCTTTTTGAGCTGGTGGACTTCTGGGCCTGCTGTCCCTCTGTCACGGACACAGATCTAGAGATAAAACTGTGGCATCCCATTTCTCTCTTTCTGACTTTGGAAGTAAATTCTTAAAAAATATCCTTCCCTTCTTACCAGCTAATGATGCACATTTATGGTCTGTTTGAACTTCTTCATCCAACCTTCCTAACTTATGGGAAGGAGGTGTTTGTTTAGCCTCACTGTTCAGCCAATCCAGTAATCAGTATCCACTCTATACGCTGTCATGAAGTACAGAATAAACTGTTCTACTTAAACTTATACTCTTCATAATGTCAACATACAAACACATATGAAAATTCCTGTATAATTATCTGATTTTACAGGCAAGTTGGAAAAGATTTTTTTGTCTTTTTTGACTTTTCCACCAATGCTTAATCCCTGCATTTCCAAACAAAAATGGATGTGTACCAAAAATAGTTTTGATTCAAAGATAGTTTTGTTTCAAAAACATTGTTAGATATGAGACAATTTTGATGAAAGTAGACATTTCCTACAAAAGTTATTTTAGTTAAACTCATAAAATGGAAACATTTAGTTATTTCAACATACAAATTTATACAAATGCATAACGTAGGAGTTATTCTGACACGCATGGGGGAATCTCAGAGAGAAAAACCTTCTCAGGAAGTTACTTACTATTTTTCAAAGTAAACTATTAGAAAAACAAATACAGGACAAAAAGTTAAACATATTTTATTACTTCCAGCAAAACATTTCTTTCTTCTGTGTTATTCTGGAGACAAACTCAAATGAAATTCCTCAGGAAGAATACACTGGAGTCTACAAGTTAAATTTCTGATGCCATTCAGTTAAATTGAGCCTTTAAATACGTGAACTAAAGACCTGATTCTTCTTTAAACAAAAGTCTCTTTATACCACTCTGACAGTACAGAAGAGCTGTAAAACAAGTAGCACAATGAATGCCTGACTAAATGCCTACTGGCACAGACTGGCACAGTGAAATGAAAATTGACCTCCCCAATTTTTTATAGTATTTTTATAGGTGGAAAATGTTACGAATGTCATGGAAATCACTAACAACAAAAGAATAGAAACAAACTCACTAATTTTTATTTCATTTTTATGACAGAAGATTTCAGAAATTGATGGAAGCTGTGAAAAAATAAAATAGATGAGTGCAAAGTCTTCTATGGATTTTGCCTAGGAATAGTTTTCTTTCTTTTTGGAGAAGTTGCAACATGAAAATAAGTATTTATGATAGAAATGCTGACATAACATTACTAATAGCACCTCTACTAGAGATTGTTACAATGTGTATTTACTCAAGTGCAGCATTAAATAAGAGATGTGAACTCACCATAGCAACTCCTGCCTCACATTGCAGTTATGCTGCTTCTAAGATACGGCAAATGTTTCTGAAGAAATGTACCTGAATTTGAGGTAAACATCTATCAATTTCAAATTATTTTTCAAAATACTTTGCTATACAGTATAACAAAAAGTGATGTAGCTTGGTGTTACATAAATTACTGATTTATGACTGGACTTTGCCTTTTGTTGTCCAATGATTATTGCCTCAAAATGTAATTTTAGGCAGCTGCCCAATCTCTGCGAGCAAAATAGTGGCAAGAGCTCTACTGAGCTTCTCCAGAACGTCCCTATGAATTCTTAACCAGGAGTCTCGTCCTTTTTAGGCCTCCTTCTGGTGTCTCTTCACAAATACTACTGTTCACCACAAGAGATCCAACGGAATTATATGAATTCATCCAAAGTGGGAAATAGGTTTTCTGCTGAACTGTTTTGCAGCTCAATTTTAAATTTACAACTGTTTTCCCTTTATTATCTATTCAGTTTGAATTTTATTCTCTAATATGTGTTTGTATTGTTTGACCTTACTTAGACTGAATTTCCATCCTATACATGAGCAAAATGTCTTGTTTGTTTGCTTGTTTGCTTGTTCATTTAAATGTTTAATCCTTTTAGTGAGTCTCCTATAGCTGATAAAAGCTTTTCCTCTGTTGAGTTTAATTTTGGCACTTTTACTTTGGAGGCCTTTTCTTTAATGCATCCAGTATTACTTGTATCTTAATAAAAGCTTTTAGATTGCTACTGATGTATCACCAACTTCATCTTGACCAAAATTCTTGCTAGCATGCCTGTTTATATGGATCAAAAAAACAAGATTTTCATGATGTCTGGTGGGTTAGCATGGTGGGTTAGCTGCAAGGCAGCTTTTGCAGTCAGTTCTTCCATGTACTTTACCCAACAATCCATAACAGGCTGCTTCTGGAAGGAGAACTAAGTGATCACAACTGCTTTAATCTTTTTTTGATATCAATCAACTGTAATTTCTCTTCCCAGATCTCACTTGTACAGGGGATCACACATTTTCTCACATCATCTAAGATTGATTAAGAAGATTAATAATATTCTTTTTTTTTTTTTTTCTTCTTCTCTTTTTCTTTCTCCTGCATTTATTTCTGTAGGTTCTTCTGTTACTGCTGGCGAGTTTTCCTGGGAGACACATGAAACATCTTTAATCAGTTGGTTATGTGCTCAAGGGCTAAAGGCTTCTTTCCCCTCTGTATCTAGCCCATGGGGACTAAGTGGAAGAGGAGACAGAGGAGATTGCTAGTTCTACTAAGTTACTACTCATATAAAGGCTTATCTGGTTATCTTTTCTTGCTTCTTCTTCTAAGACTACTTTAGCCTCCTTGCACTAAAAAAACTAACTAATTTGTAGTGAACAGGATATCTGAAGACATCTACTCTTTTTCTGGAGAAAAGATTACACAGGGTGTTGTTCAAAATAGTGGCTCACAATGGATACAAAAATGCTTCGCATTTGTGATTGTTGATGGCCAACATGGCCAACACAGTAAGATGAACCATAATGTACCTAGATGCCAATTGTCAATAGAAACACTGTACATTATAGAACATTATACCTACAGATTTCTTCTACAGAATATCACAAAACTAATAAAAATTAAGAATGTTGCATGAATTGTCTATGGGCTTTACCTCTGAATTTTTATCCAATGTAATCAACAGTAGCACTTGCTTTCTACACTTCATGGAAGAAAGCACTGTACTTCATGAAAAACATCAACAACACCTGGGCACTGCAATATTGCTTCAGCTCCAACGTCAGTTGAAGGCCAAATGAGAGATCTCTGCAACCCCGCAATCTCTGCAATCTCTGCAATCTCTGCAATCTCTGCAAAAGATGTTACTGCAAAATATGTAGGTATCTTCAGTATACTGAAATTTTTCTGAAATGTCCAAGTTCAGAAAAGCAAATACAATATGATCCAGCAGTTATTGTTCAGACGTACTCTAGATTTATGCCCTCTATTTAATATTCTGAACTCTGTGTTAGAAATATTTTGTCTCAGATATTAATAGTGAAAAATCTTGAGCTATGTTAAAACAAATTTGTTAAAATATCAGTTATCAGTCTATGAAGATGTCATAGATGTTTTTGCCAGAAAAAAAATAATGTGAAAATTGAGCAACCATTGTAGTGCTCTGAAACAGCTTCAGTGACAGAGACATAATTAAATAAATCTAAAAAAAAAAAAAAATTAAAACAGATATTAATACGCAAAAGTTCTATATTCTTTAATAATTATTTAAAAGAATTTTACTAAGCAGTATAACCTATTTTTTTGGCAATATTCTCAAAATATAACTTTTAAAGAAACCAGGATCTTCCTAAATGTAGAAGTTATGAAAAGAATTGTTTGAAACAGGCTCAGACACATTACTCTTTAATAATTCCAGTTTCTGGTTTGTCAGATGTGAGGTAGGAGTAAGAATAGGAGTATATGCTTGGATAAAGTGCCCTTGCTATTACTGAGAAATACGTGCCAACAGACACAGATTAGGGTTGAAATGGTGCTGCCCCCAGATTACTGAAATTTATGTCTTTGAATGTACGTTTTTTTCATGCTCAAAGTTGCTTTTTCTGTGCTTAGAAATCATAGACTTGTGCGAACTATCAGACTTCATACATATATATGTATATATATGAATAAGAATGAAAAAGTTTACTATCATGGAATATAGTTTTAATAACTTCCTTATGGCTAAAACTGATTTTTAGCTTAGTGATGAATGTTTATCACTGCCTTATTTTACCAATACCTTTCGATTATTTTGAATTTCTAGACTTCTAATGATTTAGAAAATAGATAAGAACTGTTTAGTGAAGTTTATTTTATTGTCAAAATTCTTGCTCTTATATACCTCAGAAAACAAGTTAAAAGTTTAAACTACTGCTGCATTTCATGAAGCCCTTGCTGCCATACTGGATCTCCCAATCTTTGCCTGTTTGCTAACCAGTGAACTACCCATTATTTTGACACGCTCCTTCATTTGTCCTGAGAATTCATGACATTTCAAAATAGGAAAATTCAGGAAGGTCTTCTCCCATGGCACAGAAATGCAAAAACCTGAAGTATAATGAAAATATTTTTAGTAACAAAATTGGAGATTTAATTAATGGCTCTAAGTGTATATACATACGTGTATATGTATACACACAAAATAAACGAACATATTTCTTCACCAAAGATGCTTAAAAATCTTATGCTGAAATCTCCTCATGAAGCGCATCCACCTCAAATGTAACTTATTTCAATTACAGCACTGTTTCCCTACTGTATTTTCTGTTTTCTTTCTCTCATGGAGCATTATTTATGTTCACAGTAACTGATGATCCACAGCAACAAAAGGGATGATTCCCAGCAATACTATGTGTTCCACGCCCCAGACCCAAGCAGCCTTGACCATGGCTCGTAAGCCTATCTCTCCCCTACCTTAGGACCTGGGTGCTTCTGGTTGTAGCTCAACTCTCCATATGACCCAGAAATCTGCCCTCTGAAGACCCCAGAGGGATGGATGCCTTTCCTCACAGAAGTACTGCACTAAGATGCATTTAACCTCTGATTATTACTGTTAGTGGGTATAACGCTGCTATTCTGATAGAGAAACACCACCGAAGGTTGCCTATGCCAGGATTTACAGTGCACTTTCCAGCTAATTTTCTTTGAGATGCTCATGATGCTCAGTTTTGACTGTGCTGTTGGCCAGCCTAGGGATAATGTAAACCATGTTCCCATGGTCATACAATGTATTGCAGAGCAACCTAGACGTGCCTTAGCTTCCTATCTTCTCCAACCCTCCTTTCCAAGTAATAATACCTCTGCAATTCTGTTTCTGTGGAAAGGGTACCGTTTGTTTCCTTTTTCTCTTTGGTGTCTATTGGATTTGGCATTGTCTCTTATGGTGACATCCCCCACAAGTTAGATACTGAAAACTAGGAATTGTTGGTTGTAGTTCTCAGATGGCTGAAATAATAATGCAAACTGAACTGATTAGAAAATAATAATAATCTAGATTATGATTAAAGATTTAGGTTCATACACTCACTGCAGTTGTAGACATGTAAGTAGTCAATGCTAGTATAGCATAGTATCAATGCTGGCTACGATTTCCCTGTATTGACTTGAGGTCCTTCTGTTTAACAGTCATGGGGGTATATCTGTGCTGTTACTCGTCCTTGTCAACATAAATCAGTAAACCCTCAACAACCCGTATCTAAGTGAGCCAAAGGTTTGCTTATATGGCTATCCAAACAAGTGTGACAGAAGTGTGCCATTTTCTGTAACCAGTGACAGACAGAGGTGGGACATGACCAGCAATGCGCTCGGCTCCCTTTGAATCCATGACCTGAATAGACAAGGTTCTATTTATAACTGGATTTATTAAAAATGAGATTTGGCATGAGCACAGGCTTTTGCTTGGACTTTGATCTCTGATCTGAAGGGGAGGTCTCAGTCTCAACCTCTTCCCCTAATGAAACGGCAGCCACAACAGTGAGCCATGGAAATATCACATCTCACTATTCATATTGGTATAGATATTCATTGGGTACACCATGTCATTAAAAATCAAGTCACATCCCTCTGCCTTATTAACTTTGCATCACAAGAGTTTATTTCTTCTTCACTTTTCTTCCACCTGCTTTACTTCTGATTGAAAGAATCTGTTCCAAATATCATGAAATGTCATTAAAAATTACTGTTTTATACTGCTTAAATTTTTATTTTCCTTAACATCTCATTTCTAGTTTTCTTTTTAAAGAAAAGTTGGTGTCATCTTTGTAAAAATTAAGTGTCAGCATTTATGTGGCTTAGAGAAATACCACAAAACTTCCACTGTTACCTTCTTAGATTTATGGACAAGATGACAATTTTTTTCTCGTTCTGTGTTTTTGTGGTGCTTTCATTTAAAATGTTTGAAAAAGAATGATTATTTCCCTTTTGTGGTAAATATTTCTTTTTGACATCACATAGTAATTCCTTATCAATGGACTTTGAAATTAATGAGCCTTAGAAATGGATATAGTATTGTATAGCTTACTGCTGAGTATAAAATTCATACCAGTCAAGAGAATGGAACACAATGAGTCCTGGACAGATATAGGAAAACAGCTAAACCTGTCCCATTGACTTACTGATACAAATGGTCCATTTTAAATATTGTACTTCAAAGTCATATCTGTCAATTCATATTTCTTCCCCTACTTCTTTTCCTTTAAAATTTTACTTTCAGCTATTTGATTTAAAGGAAAAAAGAGATCAAATTCTCTTCATTTATCTTTTTACTGGAAATATTTTGGATAAGTTCTTTTTGCTCTTGTTTTCCCTGCCCGTGCAGTAATTTTTGCATAGAATATCATTATGGATATATTTTACAATGTAGCAATGGGTAACACAACACAAGCACATCCATTCTCTTAATTAAATGAGCTATAGCTCTTTGGCTGAAGCAAACAATAATATTATTTATAACTCAAATTACATTATATAAAGTGTGCTCTCATCTATAAAGAGATGGCATGGTAGGGTTCTGTGTTTGCTTTATTACTATTTTTTTTCTTCCCAATGAGTTTCTTGTAGACCTTTCTTAATTTACAAATAAAACCATGACTTTCGTGATTACCAGCAATGAAAATTCATCCAGAGATCTTAGATCAAGCTGTGTTTTTTCTGGTTTATGCCAAAATAGACTCCGGTTCACCTCCTCAGCGCTGAGGTGGCTCTTGGAGGGCTGGTGGGAACAAAAAGCAATAACAGTGCTTTTGCCAGTAAAAAGATGAAGTGAACAAATTCTTTCAGAAGTAGGAAGACACCAGTTTTCAAGTCAGCTTTATAGAAAACAGCCGTTGTTTGAAACAAATGCTCATAACAGGGTTGGGTGGAAAGGTCAATTGCTTGATGTTCCTCTGCAGCCTTCCTTCATTTCTTCTCCCTTTTGATCATTCCAGCTCAGCATGCATTCGCAGTGATTCCTGAAGCTAAGCAGCTTGTGGTTTGGTTGCACAGCCTTTTTCCCTGGTGGAAGTGCTGGACTCATGTGTTTCTGCCCTCTCCTAATTGCTGGCATGATTATACTTGTGTTGATACAACTGTGTCTGGGGCTGCTCCATGCATTTGATGGAACTGATTTTTGTGGTAGCTCTTGGGCTCATTGCTTTGAAGCCAAGTCCCCAAGACACATTGGCAATTCTATCTTGCTCACCTTCCATTGGCTTTTCTTCTTGCTTCAGGATTTGTGGGATATCAGGTGAAATCTAGGGAAAGCAGTTTCCCAATTATTTTTCTCAAATCCCAACTGAAGATGGAATTGTGCTCAGTTCTTCTCACTTAGCTGTAAAACCCTCCAAAATTGTATGTTTTTTGTTGTTGTTGTTGTTGCTCGTTGTTTCTTTTCTCTCTCTCTCTTTATTTTATTTTATTTTATTTATTTATTTTATTTTATTTTATTTTTTTTTAAGTTACTCTCCCACATCATAATTGGCAAATTATACTTTTGCTCTGTCTGATGGAAATACCATGCTTTGGAATGATCTATGAAAGCTGAGTTCCGCCATGCTGATGGACTGCCTACCTTCCTTTGGGAACTTGGCATCCCAGTAGGACCCAATGGACCCAATAGGACATCCCAGTGGGACACAGGACCTAATGCTCTCCAGCCATGGGCCCATGATGGGAGAGAGGCTCCTCCTTGCTCAGCACAGGGCAAAGAAGTGTGGACATAGCACAGCCTTTTTAAAATCTGCAATTTAATGGGACCTGGACAGAAGTGAACACATTTACAGTAAACATATCATCTCTTTTTACCGCTGAGATCAATGTAATTTATGTATTATGGCATCTGTTATGTAAGATCTGTTGCAAGAACTTGTGATATCTGATGGATAAGGGGCAAAGACTAAGTCTAATTTTGAATATTCGAGGTTTAGTGCATTCTGTGGTAACCTCCTCCCAGGTTTATTGCTCTGGTTATACAATTGCAGATGATCTCTTTCTTAGATTCATGGCACAGGGGTAGTCACTAATTGCCCTGAGGCTTCAAGCTCTGTATGTTAGTAACTGTACAGGTGTAGTCAAAGGATACTCCTTAGTTCTAAGTGCCAAAATTCAAATGCTTACAGACCAATGTCCTTTTGATTAGGATGAACATCATTACATCATTAGAGGCAATCTTTGCATTATATGAGTTGTGAGTCATGTAAATTAGAACGATCCTCAGAATCAAAATTCTCTCCTTAGCTTGATTTTTAATATTCATATTACATCAGTGCCCATTTTGACATCATACAAACTAGTTAGTGATCAGCAAGCTTAATCCGGTTCATTTGATTCACATGAGTTGTCTCATGGGGGTTAACTGAAGCACTAATAAGAATGATATAAACAGGGTTACTTAATTCTTGCCTAGACAACGTTAGATCATTTGATTAGATTCTTTTATTCCCTTCAAGGCCACCAACAAAGACTTACAAATATCTAGTTTGATCTACAATCAAATTTACAAACCACATACATTTCAAGGGAGAAAAATAAAAAGGCTTTTTAACATGAAGAGCTTAGTGCTCTTAATGACAGAATGAGGACAGAGAAATACTAATAGATTAGTATAATTAATTAGGCAACTTAAAAAAATATGAAAATTGCATTCATAAGGGAGTAAACTCTGCATATTAATTGAATATTTTGCATGTATTATTTGCAAATGTATATTTTTCCTGAGGAAAAATAAATGCGTGCTTATTTAGTTAAAAGATGCATCTAAATATGTACATAAGAACATTCAGAACAGATTGAAGGACACCAGAAAAATCAATTGTAACATTTCATGACTTCTTATTTATTGACATGGCAATTCACGTTTTTATTATTTTAATCTTTCTTTCCAGGTGAAATGCAGTTTGGGAAGACGGATAATAACACTCAATTTCTACTCGTCATTTTACTGATGGATAGTCTAGAGGAGGTAATTTTTCTATTAGTATAAATATATATTGCATAAAGAAAGCTTTATGAAAGAATGTTAAGGTTTGTGGAGTAATCTCTCTACATCAAAGAACACTTCTAGAAAGGATTGCACCTGGAAGCATGAACTTTGTGAAAAACCTGACTAACAATCATATCATGATGGTTATTGGTCAACATAGAACATGCAAAACCTTCCTCTCCTCTCCTCTCCTCTCCTCTCCTCTCCTCTCCTCTCCTCTCCTCTCCTCTCCTCTCCTCTCCTCTCCTCTCCTCTCCTCTCCTCTCCTCTCCTCTCCTCTCCTCTCCTCTCCTCTCCTCTCCTCTCCTCTCCTCTCCTCTCCTCTCCTCTCCTCTCCTCTCCTCTCCTCTCCTCTCCTCTCCTCTCCTCTCCATATATATTAATACCTTTTGTTCCATAATTTCCTACGTTCTATTGCTGTAGTAATTGTCTGAGATATTGGTAAATTAAATGACCCGTCGCACAGGCAAATCTTGGCAATTACTCCAGGTAGTTAGAGGTGGCCAACTCTGAACAGTCTTCCAGTGTGCACAGTTTGCTGAGCAAACATGAGGTAGGGAACAAAATCATTTATTTTGACCGAATAAGCAATAGCTGCAATTGGAAAAAAGATTCAATGAATTAAGATTAGGTATGCAACCTTTGACATTTTCTGCCTCTTGGGTAAACAGCTATTACACTTTGCTCATTTGATTAAGTATTGTTTCTAAGTCACCTTTCTTATTTTGCCCTTTAAAAGTCACACCAAAATTAGCCAATATGAAAAATTTGCATCTTTTGGTGCTTCAAAATTAATTCATTTTTGGGAAAGTGTGATTTTTTTACACTCAGTCCAGGCAAAAAGCTACCACTTCGTTTTGCTCTAACTTTCCAGGAGCCCAAATGGAAATTTTTAGAAAGAGGAAGTTTTCTGAGGCTGCTGGTATGTGGTAAAGCAGCAGAAGCAGATAAGACATTGTTGCGGCATTCTGAGCTAATGTGCTCCAGCACCCTTATCATAGAATCATAGAATCATAGAATGGCCTGGATTGAAAAGCACCACAATGATCATCCAGTTTCAACCCCCTGCTATGTTCAGGTTGCCAACCACCAGATTGGGCTGCCCAGAGCCACATCCAGCCTGGCCTTGAATGCCTCCAGGGATGGGGCATCCACAGCCTCCTTGGGCAACCTGTTCCAGTGCGTCACCACCCTCAGAGTGAAAAACTTCCATCACCCTTACAGTTGGAAAATCAGTCTGTGCTTTTCTTTGGGAATCTTTCATTACTTTTTTTTCTCCTCTGAGCCCTTCCTTGTAGCTCTCCTGTGTTTTTTGTTTTTTGGTTTTTTTTTTCTCCTGTGAATGTATGTTAGTAAGAAAGAGATGATAGCATCACTTGATGGACAAAGGAAAGGTGAGGTGGGTATACAAAAGTAGAAACGTGCAATAAGAAGATGGTGGAACAGATTGAGGAAGATAAGCAGGCTGTAGCTAAATTCAGGCTGATATTGGAATGAGACAAAAAGAAAATATTTTATGTGTGCCTGTGGCAACTATCAATATTAATATGAATTTGTGATGACTGTTAGAAGCATAAAACTAGGTGAATAAAAATTGATCATAGGATTTATACAAAACATTATGGTGATTTAAATCCCTATGAGCAGTGTTTACTTATGTCTTTGGGTAGAATAATGAACCTTTAATTGCAGGCAAGCAATTTTATGTCAGAATAAATCAGAACCTGAGTGCAGCGATTCCATTTATCCAACAATGGAGTTGATTTTGGCGCTCATTCAGCTTTCTTTAAATTAAGTTTTAATGCAAAGCATCTGAAGCACACTTACTAAAGACATTAGATACAACTCATATACAATGAAATGGTCCCCTATCCTCCCTTTATTTCCTTTAAACCCAAACAGAGCTTATTTTTACAGTAGAGATTCATTTTTTGATCTCTATGAAACAATGAGCCAAACAAAACAAAGCACACATGCAACAAAGGTGGTTGATTTCTGAGGCTGAAAGGGTAAAATGCAGAATGAATTCTTGCTCCAGGAATGTTTAGTTAAGCATTCAGAAATGTTGTTTTCTAAAGGAATTATACAGATTAAATGGTCTGGAACAATATCATATCAAATGACTGATGAGAGTATTTTAAAAACAGAAGATCTTAATTTAGAATGGAAAAGAAAATTATATTTAAGAATTTATTTTTTCTAGTTTCAGTGTATGTTAAACAAGATGTGACCTGTCCTGAACTTGAGACTCACTTGAGAAGTAATACAAAATGTTATTAAAGTACAGGCATGCTAACAGAACAGCAAAATCCCATCTCTGTCAATGCTGAGGCTCCTGAATGTCTCAGGCAGCCCCTGCCGGAGGTCCAGAGCTAGCAAACTGCCTTTGTGTATTACCAGAAGATGTCAAACACCTGAAGCAGTATGAACTGGAGGTCCTATAAGGTTGTTTTTTTAAAAAAAAATAATTTAAAGTCAGATTTTGTGACCTTTGCAATGCAACAGGAAGAGCACATTTGTATTCATGGGAGATGTTCTGGGCAGTGAGGTAGCTGCTGCTGAGGAGAACCTGGGGTGTGGAGGTGGTGGTGGGAGCTGCTGACCAGTCCAATATTTTGGAGCTGGTATGTGGATGGCTCCTACATAACAGCTATCTCTGGTGAAGAGATAGGAGGACTTTTGTGTAGCTGAGCTAGAATCACTGGGGTGACAGCACTGTCTTCTTCCCATTGAGGAGGATGAGTTGAGGGGGTGGGGGGTGGGGATGCTGCCAACATCAGCTGGCTGTCATGCTTGGCATGTGTGCAGCTGAGATCATAGTGAGGAGCCTCTGTTCTTGTTCTATCAGTATTCCATATTAGAACATGACACAGGCTGTTTGGGTGCAAAAGCACAGTGCACTACAAAACTGTGTTTGCTGGTTTCTCTAGCAGCCTCACATGAGTTCTGACTCTCTAAGAGGAAGATACTCTGGGAAGTACTGCATTTCCTAGGAGCCTCCACATGATTTCCTATTCTGCGTGTTGGGTGAAGGGTTCTCATGCCTCTTCTAGGAGGTGAACCGTGGAGGGCTTGCTGATAAAGTCTCAGATTGACTCTCCTCTGGCTTTATTTTTGGTTTGTTTTGATATATTGGTCTGAATTATTCTGTATTATCTCACATTCCTTTTAATAAATTAGTTTCTCCTGTCTCAGTTGTGTTTTTTTCCCTCTTCCTTCCACCCCCCTCCCTTTCTCCCAAGGGAAGAGGGATGTGTCATGTGATTAACTCTTCAAATCATGACAGCCTCCCTGTCAGCTGCAGGGCTCAGCACAATTTCAGTTTGCTGTGTTGTAATGCTACTGCCCCAGCAGCTGTCAGAAGCATCTCACTTTCCAGATATCAGGCAGAGAGATGACTGGCAGCAGAAAGCTGAGCGTCTTCATCAGCCTTCTGTCCTTGTGCCCTTACAGAAACTGCTTCGTGCTCTGGAAAATAGGAACGGGTTAAAGCATTCCTTAGGATGGGGCAGGTTTTGATAAGCATGCTGGTTAAAAAAAATGCATGTCTTGGGGGTTTATTGTGCAGCTGTTAATGTCTCTATCAGAATTATAAATATTTGCTTAAACTAGGAATGGAAAACCGTAATCGATGCTACAAACCAAGGAAAGGCAATTACAGTGACCTTCCAGAAAATAACAGTCTAAAGAAAATGAGGTAGTTCTAACTTTGTGTATGAATGTTGGGAGTAAATCAGAGGATATCAGGCAACATTGCCTAAAAATATATTCTCAGGTTCCAGTGGCTGATATTTGATGATGGCAAAAAAATCCCCTACCACCAAGCACCTAGCCTCCCAAAAATTACATTGAAGTTGATAACAAATTGCAAATGCTTTGGTTAGAATTAAGTATTGAAGACATGAACAGGATATGTCTACTGTTTTGTACTGCCTCATTTACTAATCATACCATCTGCAATGCCAAATTACATGTAAGTTTTTGTTTGTTTTAGATTAGACTTGGGAAATAGTGAGCATTCAGAAAGAAATCCTGAAATAAAAGATTTATTATTTCTGTTTCAGTTTAAGATTTATTTTATCATCAAAATATTGTCACTTGCAGCAACTGGATAAGATAGTGAGGATGACCTTCATGATTTTCTAGCATTATCAGAGCAAGGTCCTTCATATACATAAGTCACTTCTAAAATACTGCCTCCTATTTATTTCCATGCAAACTACAACAGTGAGCACAATAGCACTATTTGGTAGCACAAATTTTCAGCTACAAAATATTTTTCAACACTGTCACCACCGTTGGCTGTGAGTTTTCACCAGTGATAAACAAGAGCCTATATGCCATGCTTATAAAAATCTGCATCAGCAGAAATGACCCACTGTTTCACAGCAGCTATGATGATGTTGTTGCTAGGAAAATGTTGCTGATGCAGTCCATCTGTACTGACCTGCACAGATGGAAGTCAGAAGGCACCAAATCCTGATTATACGATGAGTGTTGTAGGACAGACAGTCCAGCCAAAATTGGAAATGTGCTCCAATGTCTTCAGAATGGTATGGGGCCTGGTGTTATCTTATTGTTATCTTAATGCAAAAGAAAGGTTGTCTTCTTCTCTGTCCTGACTATGGAATTTAGAGCCTTCAGCTTTGCAAAGTAGCAGTCAGAATTGATGGTTTGTCTGGTTTCCAGGAAATTCAGAAAGATCATCTCTTTGCTATCTCAAATGACAGTGAACATTATGTTACTTGTTGAGGGCTGCATCTTGAACTTTTTGTTTTATGAGAAATTCACGTCACACTCCGTGGACTGCTGTTTTGACTCAAGCTTGTAATGGTGACATCACATCTCATCACCAATAATGATGCGATCCAGGAAACTGTCAGTCTTGTATTGGTTCAACAGGTCGCTACCAACATGTATATAGTGGTCTTTTGGATCCTGTGTGAGCATTCGTGGGACCGACCTAGTGCAAAATTTTCACTGAAGCTGTATTCTTCTCCATACAATGTTCCCTGGTCATAATCATCTGATTTGCACAGATGAGCTGACTGAGACACTCCATCCACCTTCTAACTGCACTCACATTCACTGTTTGTTCTCCATAAATGATCAGCATCGAAGAATGCCAGAGGGTGCATTTTTTTTTCTACATGGAGGAATTCAGTGAAACTTTGCCCCATACACATTTCTATGTCAGAAATTTTGTCCGACTGCCCCTCTGCTGCTATCTGTCACATGGCAACAAAATGTAATAGAATATTAGTGGGAATGTTCAATCTAAAATCATAGAATCATAGAATCTTTTGAGATGAAAGAGACTCTTACAGATCATCTAGTCCAACCCCTCTGCAATGAATGGGACATCCAAAGGTAGAACAGGTTACTCAGAGCCCTCTTCAGCCTGACCTTGAATATCTCCAAGGATTGGGCTTCCACCACCTTTCTAGGCAACCTACTCTAGTGCCTCACCACCCTTATACTGAAAAACTGCTTATTTATAGCCAATCTAAAACTTCTCTCTTTTACTTTGGAACCTTCTCCCCTCATCCTGTCACCACAGATCCTGCTAAAGATTCTATCCCCTTCTTTCTTATAGCCCCCCCTTTAAGACTGCTATCAGGTCTCCCTGAATCCTTCTCTTCTCCAGGTTGAACAGCCCCAGCTCACTCAGCTTGTCCTTGCAGGTGAGGTGTTTCATCTTGGGATAATTTTTGTGGCTCACCTCTGGATGTGCTCCAACAGATCACATCTATGCTGTACTGAGAACTCAACATCTGGACACAGTACTCCAGGTGAGGTTTCCCCAGAGCAGAGTGGAGGGGCAGGATCTCACTATGCTGGCCGTGCTTCTGTCAGTGCAGCCCAGGATATAGTTAGCTTACTGGGCTGTGATGGCACACTGCTGGTTCACATCCAGTTTGCCATCCACCAGTACCCTGAAGTTCTTTTTGGCAGGGTACTGCTCAAACCTTTCTAGGTCTTTCCAGATGGCATCTTTTCCCTCAGGTCTGTTGACTGCTCCACACAGCTTGGTGTCACCCGCAAACTTGATCCCAACATCTATTGCCATATCATCAACATTTGCCCCTGATGTCATGGGCAAGCATAATAAAAGAGGAGGCATTACTTTTGGAGCTGCCCTCTGCAAATTTTATTCTAAAATTTTGAATGTCTGTAGTAATACCACTCCAGTCTATATTTAAACTGTCACTAAGTTATCTTTAGTTGCAACAGAATCCTACTAATTCTAGAAAAAAGAACAACTGCTGAGTGACGTATTTGGGGTAAATGCAGTATTAAAAGTTTTAATTTAAAAGTGTTTATTCACAAATTGACATGAAGTCTCAGCAGGACTTCAGGACAAAAACTGAAGTTATTTGGCATACTTTATGTATAATTGGGCTCATTAACTGCAAGACTCAGCACAAGTCACATTTTCCAAGTAAGATCCTGATGTACCCTACTTCACCTGGACACTTTCTAATTAATACTGAGATACATATACAACTCCCAGCTCACTCCATTGCCCAGCCCCCATCATTCCTTAACAGAAGTTTAAGGTTGTGTGATCAAGCACCTGAAGGGCCGTACTCTCAGGTCATGCCCATTGCACAAGCATGCCTAATGTTCAGTGCTCTGATGTTTCCATGTTCACTGTTGCTATGCCTGCCAGTATGGAGGTAGCAAGTAAATCCTGGAAAGTCCCAGTAAACTTTTATCAAACAGATTTGGAACATTTGGCTGCCAAACACTGTAGCTGTTATGTGAACTAAGCCTGCAGCTCTCAGGGAGCTTGTAATCTTCTGATCCTGTAGACAAGTCAGTATTTGATCCAGCATGACTCGAAAGCACCTTATGGGTTCAGTTGAAACTAACTGTAAGTCAAAGTCCAGTTTGGCAAAACATCTGAGCCTAAAAATACTCTTAGAAATTGTAAAACCTGGAAATGTTTCTTCTGCAAATAATTAACAGAGAGCATACAATTTTATATTTTGAAACTATTGCTTTGTTTCAAAAGTGACTGAAGTGTTACAGTGAAGTCAAGGAAGAATTAAATAAGTTCAGAATAAAATGATCAATTAAAACATCTAGTTGGTTGAACTGCCACAGGCTGCTCTATAGCCAGTATGTAGAAAGCACTAACGTGCCAGTCTCATGTCTACTGGGGAGAAAAATAAAGCAGACATTGTGTTATTGTGTTGTGTTATTGTTATTCAGCACCATTTCAAGTTATGCTTTCACGGAATTGAGTCTGATAGACTACTTCATTGTGATTCATCTGCCTTGGCATGCTGAAGAACAGAAAGCAAACAGGTTCAGAAGAGAAGGCCATGACCTCATCAATTTGAATACCCGCCCTACTTTGTGGCTGTCATTAACCTGCAGTTGTTGACCAAAGGAATCATAAATGTTCTATTACAAGTAGTGACTGATATACTGGCTTTAAAATCCACAGACATACCTGTTAAATGAATCAGCAACAGTTACTTTGACTATAGTTACTCAGGCTTTATTTTATTCTGAAATATGGTATGACCTGGCGTCTATTTCACTTGCCCACAAGGAAGTAATGATATCCAAAAGTGGGAAGATAATAAAATGCACAAAATTTAACTTTATCATAATTATTTCCAATTATTGCAGTTAAAGGAGCCTTGAGGATTTTGGAGTAGAAAAAGCCCATTCAGGCATGCAGTCTGAAATAAATTCAACATTCCGTTTGTATGTGGAGTTGAGATTATAGTCTGCAGCTCAAAAATATCTCTTCCGTAGGGAGAGCATGTCAGCACATCCTTGATTATCACTTCTTTGACTTGGGGACATGGTGCAGTACAAATAATATAAACATAACATTAAAGTAGCAAGAAGAACATATCCTATATGCAGAAGAAATTGCAAGGTGATGTCAAAGGAACTAAAGATATCTCAAGGAAGTGCCAATTTCTCATTACACTAAGATGGTGCATTACACGTAGCATAAGAAAAAGAAAACATATTTTAAACTCTTTAGTGTTTGCAATATATTTGGTATAATTATTTTATTTTCAATTTATGTGTTTCCTATAACTTACTATTTCGCTTGTTGTTGAAAAGTTGTTTCCCCTCCACTGTTTCTAAGATCCCATTTTATCGGTGGTTGTTTGAAAAATGAGATTTCATTGATGTCTGAAATAGCAGAGAAAAATATCAATTG